TATAGCCTTATGTCCACGCTTATAAAAGTAGAAATAGACTGGTGTCTTGGGTTTCCCATAGCTATAGTTAAGCAATGCATCTTGATAAGCGAATCTCTCGTGGTATGTTATAAAGTCTCTATAATAGGATCTTACTATGTATAGCCTTCCTAGTAAGTGCCGAGGGAGGCGGAGTTCGGGCGGCTTGGGGTGAAGAATTATCTCGAGGTCGGCATATTGCCGGGGGCATTAGGATAGCCATTTTCTAGCAAAGGCTTGGAAGGTAGCTGCTTTAGCTTGCCTTTATAGGTACGCTAATGAGGGCTGTGGTTGTGATTTTGGGATTAGTTTGCAGGCTTCCTTGGCTAAAGCATCCGCTTCTTCATTTTCTGGTACTCCCGTGTGCCTAGGGCACCACCAAACATAAACCCTGCCGGGGGTTATCCAGCTATCTCTTTGTCTCCGAGTCCAGCAGGAAGAGAGCCTATTAAAGGCCCTAAATCTAGCCTAGCTACTTCCTATGCTCTAAGAGTATAGTCTAGCCGCGACTGCTAGGTTATCGAGGTAGATATGGACGTTATCTACTATACGAGCTGTAGGAGCCCGGGTAGCTTCTATTAGGCCGTAATACGCAGTATATACCTCCGCATTATATACCTTAGTTTAGGAGCCGAGTAGTTCGGATCTACGGAAGATCTGCCGTATAGCTTGGTACCCTACCTAGCCTGCTCCGGCGGAGGTACTGCTGCCGTCCGATATCTAGGACCCGTTAATATAGACAATAATATCCCGCTTGGAGAAAGTTACTATCCTGCCTGCAAAGGAGAGGGCTTATTCTTCTTTGGTCTTATTAGGTTCGTAGCCGACCCTGGCGAGGGCTATTTGCCAGTCCGCCAGTTGCTCCTAAGGGGGGAGTTCTAACGGATCGATATATTCGGTATTTTTTCTTACGAGGCTTACTATTCGTCGTAGCCGTGAGTCTGGTCCTGATTTGTCCCTGAGTCTCGTTCGGAGAGGGTGTCGCTTGTCCAGACGATGGATTCTGGTAGATGTTATGTGGAGCTTTGCGTCTAGTATCACCTCTACTAGGGGTAAAGCCGCCTTGCGCTATAGGATCGGTATAGGCGTCGTTCTATATACGGGGACTATCGCTCTGATGGCTTTGGTTTACGTCGCGTCTAGTTAGTATAGCAGACTACTAACCCCGTTTAAGATAGTACGTCTATTCTTTATCCGGCTCTTGCCGGGCCACTATACTTTAGATGTATAATACTAAGTAGGTAGTATATAAGAGGTGATTGCTTAACGAAGTAAGTACGTAGGCGCGCCCTAGATAGTATTCCCTAGTCCCCGTAGTCCATTAACTACTTAGTATGCCTTTACGGAGAGGTTTCTTACGTAACTCTTAAATATGAGTTTATGGTCGAAGTAAACGAACGCCGAGCCAGCGTAGAGAAGAGCCTTTTTTAATAGCCTGAACTATATAATGCCTCTTATCCGGTAAACCTATTGTGATTAATAGGTTTCCGTCTTTTCGTCTCTTGGTAAAGTGGATCAGTTCGGACTTATCAAGGTCAAAAGTGATTTCTTCCGTCGCGCCCTATCCTAAGGTTTTTTTCTATTCCTTAGTTAGGATATTATAGTTATTCTTTAGTGATATTAAGCTTACTAAGATAGCGACGTTATCGGCGTAGCCGAAACGAGATCGCTTCCTTCCTAGGCGAGCTATACCTAGCTTAAAAAGAGGTTTAATATAGAGTATAAATAGAATGGGAGACACGGGTGAGCCTTATAGTAGTCCGTATTCGAGACCGAAGACGTCTCCTACCTCCCCATCAAGCCTTATTCTTGCTCTCCTTCCGGTAACAAAACTTGAGACCTAGCGTACGAGGTTCTCTGGCCATCCTTGTTCGTAGAGGCGTCGGACTAGTCGTCCTGGGAGCACGGCGTCGAAAGCCCCTTTTATATTGAGCGTAAGTATAGAGGTAACTAGGCCTCTTTGCTAAGCGTACTCGATATCGTGGATGGCCGCTGCGATGAGGTCGCTGTAAGAGCGAAGAGGGAGTGCTCTAAACTGTTAATCGTATAGAACACGATATTTAACTACGATCTAGGTAAGTCGTCTAGCGATAAGTCTCTCCAAGCCTTTTCTGAGGACGGCCAAGAGCGCAATTGGCCTATAGGAGCGCGGGAGTGTCTTGTCTCTTTTTCCCGGTTTTGCTAGGATCACGAGAGTTACTTCTTATAAGTAGGATGCTAACCCTTGCGTATATACCCGCTATAAAGTGAGAGGACAATATCCTTGATAACTGGCCATGCTATTTTCAAAGCAGCCGTAGTGATTCCGTTGGTCCCAGGAGTCGTGTTTCCTGCGGTGAGAACCGAGGACCGTACCTCGTCCTTCGTAACCTGCGGGAAAGGAAGCGTAGCTTGCCTTTGTAAGACTGGGCTTTCTGTTGGTATGTCCTCGGAGATTGCGGCGTTTCTAAGGAGGACGCGGGTAACTACTTTAAAAAGACAGTCCGTAAGCTGTTATGCTAGGAGATCTAAAGACTGTGGGTCTTAGATGTTGCTTGCAGTGCGGCGCATGGGTTGTAAGTTGCGTTTAATGATGCCGAGGAAAAGCTCCTCGTCCATCGTGTCGAGCCGAAACCTTCCCGGGGTCTGGCTGGGTGAATCGATCAGGGCCAAGGGGACCCGGGTAAGCAGAGATTCGTAGTCTGATGTCGTGTATAGTGACGTTTCTATGCTGGTGGAAGCCCCATGGAGGTTGCTGGACGCCCAGCATAAATCTAGGGTGTTGCCGCCTTTGTGCGTGGGTTCACCTATAGGTGACATTAGGACAAGGCTAGCGGCTTCTGCCCATTCTACTAGGTTTTCAGCGTCCGGGGAACTCGTGGCCTCGGGCTGCTACGTCCAATGGTGTAAGTTAAAATCCCCCGCAATCAGTACTCGATCCTCAGGTTTGGGTTACCAGGCCGCTAGGATGTTCCTGAGAGCCTGGCTAGATCGTAGAGAGCTACGAGGGGCGTTGTATATGTTAATGACTATAAGGACCTCCTTCGTTCCTGAGAGGAGTCGTAAGAAGAGCAGGTCTGTGGATGGATCGGGTAGAGGCCGTATTTGTACGCCTCGTACCCCAGTTCCTCTGCGGAGGTAGGTAAGTACCCTGGGACGGTCTTCAGTCCAGTTATCTACTAGGGTGAAAGTCTCAAAACCTGGGTGGTGTCTTGTGAGCCTCCTCTCCTCCGAACGGATAGACGGCTCTTGTATTAAGAATATATCGATCTGGGTTACGTAAGCCAGGTTTAGTGCTGTTTCGTGGGCGGATGCCCGCCTGCCTATATTTGCTTGTATGATTTGTAGGGTTTTAGAGGGCAATATTCTTTTTTTGTATTTTATTCGCCGGGGTATAGTCTATCGCTTATTCTTCTTTACGGGAATGTCGATGCGATCGCTGGGTCGTATTTCTCTATAATCTTTCTCCCTTAGCTCGGAGGGCCCGTAGCTGAGCCTTATCCCTCCTCTGGACTACCCCCTTCACCACTTTGGGTTGGATAGGGTAAGTCGTATCGAAGGCGGCGTGAGGCCCGTTATACGACGGGTATTAAAAGGGGCAGTCGCAGCCATCGTGACCCTCAGTGCCGCCGCAGGGTGCCCGGTGTTGATTAGTTGTGTGGGAAGGAGAGCTGCACTTGAGGCATCTCTTCCTTCTGGTGCACGTTCGTTCGCTGTGAAAACCGCCGTAGCGGAGACATTAAGGAGACCTCTTCTCCTTCGGGAACTGCAGGTTTACAAAAACGCTGGCCCCTATTAAACGGAGGCGTCTTGGTAGTTGCTTTACGGCTTCCGCCTTGAACCAGGCTGTTACCGTGCCTAGCCTTTCGACTTCGTCCTTCCTAGAGAAGTGTGCTTTTTCAGGCTTGAGTTTCGTCGAGACCTGGATCTCTTTAAGGAGCTCCTCGGTCGTGATTTCCAGCTCAGTATTGGTTACCAGATAATACCTGGTGTAAGGGACGTTTGTAATATAGGCTCGGATCCAGGTATTGCGTTGCTCGATCGCTTATACTTAGAGAAGGGTAGCGATCTGTTCTCTATTCTCTAGTAGGACTTTTGCACTATCTATTAATGAAGGTAGGAGTGCTAATCCTATCTTAACATGGTCGATCCCCTTAAGGGCTTCTCGGGCTTAGGGACTTAGCCTTTCCCGAACAAAGATATATATATCGTAGGCTTTCTCGTTCCGAAGCGGGCTTTTAGGCGATAGACGCGCGAAGACGCGTAGATCTTTTAAGGCCGCCCGGTTTGTAGCTTGTTTTGCGGCTTGTTTGGCTGGCGTTGGTTTATCCTGTTTTCTGGATAGTGGCTGGCTCGCCGCCGCCGCGTATGAACGGACTAGGGGCGGCTGGTTCTGGGTTGTGTGCGAGGGATGCCCCTGGGAACTCAGGTTAGTCTCGCTAGGCCCTATGTTAATAGCGTATATAGACCCTACTAGACTACGTTAATGCCGGTTTGAACGCTGTTTCTCCTCCTGAAGCTCTCTCTCTAAGGATTCGATCTTTATTAAATAGTCTTTTAAAAACTATTCCCTCTCGGCGTCCCGACGTAGGAGGTCCTGGACAAGATTCGAAAGCTTGTTAATCTCGTCTTTAAGCTCAGACTTGTCCTGGTGGTTGACCTGCTCAACCACTCTGACCTTTGCAGTCGGCTTCCGGACTCGTCCCGACCGCTGAGATATACCGGCGTCCCCGTGAACCGTGACCGATGGCCCTATATCTAGGGAGACTGCTATGGTCGTGGAATTCAGCTCGTATGGGCTGATGTTGAGAGATGATAGTGCAGTGGGCCGTAGCCCTCTATAACCTTAATAATTACTAACAGTGGGTACCTTTCGAGGTATGTGTTCAGAAGTTTCTCGAGATGTGTGATAGAGAACGATTATCTATTGAAAGTAGAGAATAGTGTAACCGAGGTCACGTGACGGGCAGTGAGGCCACAGATGGTTGAAGCCATTACGACACTACGTCAATCTCATAAGGAAGATACCACAAAGAGAACACGTTATCATTCTCGTGCAGTCGTTCTTTCAAAATGTGGCATGGCAGTATGATGTTATCGACAATTCTAAATTCTGCGACGAGCTATCAAACTGGAATCACATCTCCTCCACAACGTTGAATCAAGGCCCCGAGAACTTGTCTGTCAGCACCCGGGCATTCCCTGCTTTACTTCTTCAGGTTCTCGCACTCGCATTACAATTCCATCCTGATCAAAACGATGAAGCACTAGAGGGCCTCAAGTACGCACCCGATATCGACTTCGCCGATCTTGCCGCCGATTATAGCAATGTGGGCCATCAAGTCGCGTCTATGCTTGGGAGCAAAGACATCTCGTTGACCAAAGTTCAAGCTGGACTGATGGAGGCATTCTTCGAGGAAATTATAGGCTCATTCATTGAATCATGGCACACATTTGGAAGAGCGATCCCAGACGCCCAAGAACTTGGCCTGCACAGAAGTAGGGTTTGGGAGACAAGTCCTTGCGCCGAAAACGTAATGCAGACGCCAGCATTCCCACTGGAGAGGAAGTTGTGGCTTGTGTTGCATCTCTGGGACGCGCACATGGCTGTTGTCCTCGCGAGGCCCATTACGACCAAGTTGGATTCGAGTTCCGTGCCCTCGACGAGCCTGATAGCTACTTCGCCCCCACACGGCTTTGACGACGCGACGTTATCCCCATTCGACATCATAGTATGCGGCTATCATGCTGCTTACAAGTATCTGCAGGATATTCACGACCTTGAGGTTGAGAACAGAGATGCGCAAGAGACTGTTCAGAAGATACACAACGCCGTGATAAACAACATTTCCAAACTTCCGGCGCGTGCAACCTCCTCAAGCCCCGCGCTCGACGGCAAATACCCTTGGCTTCCTGCTGCTCGCGAGACACTCATCACTGAGGTCTATTTTTTCCTCCTGGCATTGCACCGCCCTTTTATATCGACCCTGCCCGCAAGTCGAGCAGAGGCCCACATGGCCGCGCTGAAGATGCTTGCGTCGCAAAGCAGGCTGTTTGAACAAGCGGGAACCCAACTCTACAAGGGATTCGCTCTCGTCTTTTCTACATTGAATGCCATGGTCCTGGTGACAGCAACATACATTCAAGCCCAAGATGATAATCTAAATCTCCAGGCAGAATCGGTGAAACGCTTGGAGTGGGGGTTGGCAAGGCTGGATGCCATGAGGTCTCGGAACTCCATGGCAGGCTTCGCTTATGACGTCGTAAAGGTGCTTTTCCAGAAAATGCTGAGCAGATTCTCCTCCCCAGACCCTTCTACCCTGAGAATCAATAAGCCGGAAACCTCTTTCAGAGCTGTGGAGACGCTGTCCTGGGACCATATTTCACAAGCCGGCCCGGATCTCTAGCAGAATCTGGATGATACGACGCTGCAACATCCGCTATACTACTCAGTCTCTCAGGATATGGTTGGGGAAATCTTTCCTGTCGAGTTGCAAGGGATGGCCTATTCTGAACCTGGTGAACACGGAGAGGCAATGACCGATAGTCTTTGGCAATTGATGGACGAGCTCACGTAGCGAATGCTCCCTATAGATTTAAATCAACATAAGCTTTTGATCATTAGATATTAAACAGCTGGCGAGTTCGGTCAAACATTTTGCAGCTTCTTCCATTTCTATAGCATTGCTAAAGGCCAATGAACAGCACCGGAATCATCTAATACAAAGTTGCAGCAAAGTAGCTGGCTTCTCGATCTCACATAACGCAAGTTTGGATTGAGAGTCCGAGGTAGTGACTCGCTTTACACCGAGCAATCTCTCCGCCTTCAAAGAAGTGAGAAATAGTTATTCGAAAGCTTTATTCGGCGACCTTGTATTTTCAAATATCGGTAAAGAGGCCATCGACGAGACATACTCGTTAGGCACTTACCATGATACTCGAAATGATGTGGTTGTCACGTTACCCACTCATAGCATGACACCAGTATGGGAAATTCTGCTCCAGACGGCATCATCCTCGATGAAAGAGACTGGTACACTAGGATAATGAGTTCAGGTCTCACTGCGATCTGACGGGGAAATTATCGCCGATATCCAAGGTATTCTGATGGGAATGTGGAAACAATGCAAGCAGATTGCATCAACTGTCTAAATAGTCTGGTTACAGTGAAGTGTATAAATACAAAAGAGAAAACATTGTTATGTACTAAGACACGATGACACTCGTTTGAATGCAGGGTATTGATACAGGATATTGATGTAAAAGTCAATTAGATACAACGAATAGTAGAATAGGATTAAAGATCCGAGACTCTGTCCATACTTGCAGCTTTCCGAAACCTGTAATTACGTGCTGCAGCTCCCGCGAAACATTTTGTGTTGCTCTTGGGGGAACGAATCTTCTTAGTTCCAGCCAAGTTTGAAAGCACATCTAGGCCGGAAGCTTGAAGCCGGTCTTGCGGAGGTTCTGGAATACGTGCTCCGGATCGTACTTCTCTGCGACGGACTTGAGACAATTGATGGTGTCTTCGCCGTGTGTCGAAAGAGGGTCTTGGTCCTTCCAGGCGTAGTTGAGGTATTTCCACTCCTTGTAAGCCTCGATCTCCTTGGCGTACTCGTCGATGGCGGCGCGGAACTCGAGAGCAAAGGGGAGGATCAGTTTCTGGTTCGCAGGGGTGTCGACAGTCAAGGCGATGAGCCACATGATGGTAGGGCCATCGGCAACAACGCTCTCCAGGCCAAGTGAGTTCCCACCGTTCTCGAGACCGTGCTTGACGATGGATTGGGTGACAGGCTGGAATTGTACAAGGACATTAAAGTCTGATTCAGGCGCGGCTTCCTTCATCTTGGCCGAGTACTCCTTGAGCTTGGTGTCAATGAAGTCCATGATATGGAAGTCGTTTGTGGTCTGGCCAACCATCCAGTTTGCGCTGTTGAATGGTGTTAGTGCTGTTTCGCAACCCTCAATGTTAGTACACAGGACAACTTACTACAAGCCCAAGGGTGTAGGACCAGTGAATTCCGGGACGAGCTCGGCAACAGTGCCAACGCGGACGGTACTGGAGATGTTGGGAATGGCATAGTACTCGTCAAAAGCAGGCGCATCCATGTTGGCCTGGACGTTGGTCAAGATAGACCTCAAGCTGAGACCGGTCTTGTCGTAGTACAGTGCGACAATGTTTTGGCTGTAGAGGTCGTTGTCCATGTTGTTGGCAAAGTTCAGGTAGGCGTTGAAGACGTTGTCTCTCTCGGTAAGGTTGTAGCTCACGAAGCCGCCTGACATCTGGGTCGAGTCGACAGTGCCTGTGAGGAATAAGTGAGCAAAGAACGCCAGACATGACGGCATGTATCACTTACGAGCATCGATTCTGGTGACGAAGCCAAAGTTCCCTGAACCTCCCTTGAGGGCCTTCCAGAGGTCCGGATGCTCGTTCGCATTAGCGTTGACAACGGAACCATCTCCGAGGACAACCTCAAAGTTGGTGACCGAGTCGCAAGCAAAGCCATGAGAGTTGGTGTGGAAGGAGTACTGAAATCTCGAATGTTAGTAAATGTTCGAGATATCTGAGCCGGCACCACTGCCGATATATGGAACCCGAAGTTGATTTGACTTACACCACCACCCGTCGTGAAGCCACCAACACCGACAACTGACGCCCTGCCGCCAACAGCAGCAACACCATATGGATCAAGGGTAGAGAAAACCCTCTCCCAGTCTGAGCCAGGTTGGATCGAAGCAATCTTTGTTCCTTCGTCATATGTCGTGGTGTTCATGTAACCTGTTTTGGAAGTGAATGTCAGTACATGTCATGTTGTAAAGGTAGGTGAACTTGTTCGTGTAAGTCCTTACCAAAGTCAATGGTGACACCCTTCTTGACACCATTTGAGCCCGTGAAGGCTGAGTGAGCACCACTTCGGATACCAAAGGGACATTGGTTCCTGTTCAAGATCTTTGCAATCTTCGTCACGTCCGAGGTGCTCTCAGGCAGCACCATACACCATGGGGCTTGCGCAGCATTGGCAGAATAGTATGTCTCTAACCGCGCATTGTAGAATGAGTTGTCCTTTGAGTAAACCTTGCCTTGGAGGTCTTGATCTTGGGCAAGGGCAGAGCACTGTATATGGCCAAGGTTAGAAATGATCGCCAGCGGGAGTGGATGAGAGGGGGACTGGGATGGTAACGTACACACACGCAGTGAGGACTGCGACCCCTTGCTGAGACAGTCGAGGCAGCCAAGGCCAAGATCGACAAACTCGTTGAGAACCTCATGATTACTAGAGTTTTGTTTGACTCTGTGTGTCTGCGCACGAGCTCCCGTGGTCGTTGCGTGGGGGTGATCTGATGGGAGGATCGGGGTTGTTGACTGGATGGCAGCAAGACCAGGTGAGAGGATGAGAAGGACTAGAAACTCTCGAGGTGTTCTAGCGAATATCTATTGCCGTTACATATAGAATCAGCGATCAAATCTCCAGTGCCTTCCGAGTCCGCAGTTTTAAGTTCAGACCGACCTCGCCTCCACCGCGGGCTAGTGTCCTCGAAGGAGAGCCAGCATGAGTCGATGTAATTTGATCTAATGCAACTAGCGGGCATTTACTATCCCACAAGCCGCGGTTCACACAGGAACCGATGTATACCCGCACGAATCCGGTAGGTCAAGTGGGAAGGTGAAAAAAGAAGAGGAGTAATCTTCAGCTTGTTGATGGGGCCAAAGGATCATGTTTGCTATCTTCTCGGAGGTTCAATCCTTGTTAAGGTTGTGTGTTGCCTCTGAAATCGGTCAGCATTTCAAGGTGTCGTGGCAAGACGCGTTGGAACCAGGTTACATCAGCCACAGGAACGCAATCAGGCACAAGGTCTAGAGCCAACAGCTTCATTCTCGTGGTATTTTCATCGTGAGAGTGTTCTGGGGGAGGGGAGCTGACCTGCAAAGTGATGTTCCGCCACCATTTCCATAACATTTCCAACATGCACTGCGACGTTCTCCGGGATGATTTCCTTGAGGTTTCGGAACGAAGAGCTGCTAGGCTATAAGTGCTGACAAAATTTAGACGTTCCGACTTGGCAGTATGGGTTTCCTTGTCTCCAAAGGACAGGGAATAGGGCTGTAAGGTAAACTTGGCTCGATACCATCTCGTGCCCGCCTCCCCGATACATACTAAATCGAGTTGTACCAACACGAGATTCCCACTATCAAGCACGAAACCACTTTTATCGAAGCAAACAATTCCATGCCACTTTGCCGCTCTGTGTCAAGTTGGGGTGTTGACGCAGGGTAGAAGCTCTCAGAGGCCAACTGCAGTTAGGGGTAAAATGATGAATTACTGAAATCTGCTCCTCCCTCGACGTATACTCCATGCGCTATATATATATCTAAGCTGCTCCTTTGTTACTTAGACTCCTTACTACCTCTAACTAGCCCCTAACCGGGAGGGCTCTAATAGGGCGCCCCTTCTAACTAAGCTTCGTCCTCAAAGCTCAATACAACTACAGTTAGGGATCTTCTTAGTAGCTAGTTAGCTACGTCTTTAGGCTTCTCAGGAGCTAAGGCTCGTCGCCCAATCAATACCTAACTCTCATATATACTAATTAAAGCTACGTCCTCGATATATAATACCGGCTCCTACGTGTCCTCCTCGCTATTATAACCCTTCCACCTAATCAAGTATTATCTCTTTTTTTTTAGCCCCTTATATTAAATAATCTCGTTTACCTCGTAAAGAGGCTCGCCATCAATATCGCTAATAAATAATAACTTTTAAGGTACTCCTTCGCGATATCAGTAAGGCTCTAAGAGTAATACGTAAAATATATTGTAAATGCGGTACTATTATAATATATCCAATTCGTACGCAACTCCCAAGGTCTAATAATCGCTTTAACATAAAGGGTCCTAGATACTTATTAGCTAGCTTACGGCTCGGTCGCTACCTCTATATATTCTTTCGTAATAATAGAACCTAATTGTCTATTCTATATAACTTATTAACCTTAGATTTATTAGCTTAGTTCTTATATACGTTTCTAGCGTTTTACAATAATAACTATAAGGCAATATAATCTATTTATAAATATACTGCTCGCTCCTTAATAGAGACATTCTACATCCCTTTATTCGTTCTTATTATAAATACTATTAGGTATTTCGGCAAGAAGCCAAAGAGAGCTTCTATAGGTACTTTTTAAATTACTAAATACTATAACGTGCATAATAAGCGAGCGGATCGCTCGGCAGCAACCACTCCACGTATATAAATCTTGATCAACATCAATAAAGTTTAATTAATTAAAACTACCTATAATCCTCTTCTCTATACATTTCTCTCTAAAATAGATATATACGCGCATTATGTCTAGTGTTCCTATAGACGCTATATCGCCGTTGACCTGTTTCCGTCCTCGGCCGACG